ACCTATCGGTCCGATGTTTACTAACATCGGAATGCTTGAGTTACACCCACTGAATCCCTTGCTTTCTTTATTTCTTCGTTCTTTTCTTCTCTCTCTCTCTCTCTCTCTCTCTAGCATGATTATTTTACCTCTCTCTATTCTTTTTCTCTCTACTCTCTCGCCATCTACTCAGGCTCTATCTTCTCGCTCGCTTTTTATCTGTCTCTACTAGCATCTGCTCTCGGTTCACTCTCTTTTACCCTTTTATCAATTTAACCTTGCTTTTTGATCTGCCCTAAATTTCTAGAATTTTCTACTAAGGTTTTGTATTTGGTCATCGCAAAGATATTGAAGTTGGACGAAACTGATTTTTGATGTACACAAAATGAATTTAAATTTCGTATGTCGATTTCTGTAAATATTGGAAAACTAGAGCTCTAAGGGGTTCCTATCTGTGTTTGCTTAATATTTTTATTTAATATGAAATTGCTACATTTATCATTAGTATAGTGTATTAAATATAAGTAACTACATTTTATGTTGATTCTTATATCTAGATGCTCATTTTATGTTTTATCAAATTGATTGAATCAATATCTTTATGTTTCATATGCATTATAAGAAATGAGTGATGCTAAAATTTTCTATATCTAATTTTGGCTTCTGGTATTTGGATGCACGTTTCATGTTTTATGAAGATATTGAATCAATGTCGTGATGTTTCTTAGGTTTATTGACATTTGGGTGCTCTATGTATGGAATCATTGAAAATTGTAGTATTGATCAATGGCTCACTGGGTTATTCAGTACCTTGTAAGCATTTTTAGTCCTTGTCGTTTATTCAGTACCTTGTGATATGGGTGACATTCCTTTTAACAATTAATCTTAATGAATAATTTGGGTGCTCTATGCAATTAGTGTAGGTTGTTTTGTCAGTATTTTAGCTTTAGGGTGCCTTTGACTACGGCTATCTCCCATGGAACCTATAGGGCTGTTATTTGAGTCATCATAATGGCCACAAGTGGAGTGAGGTTGTTACGTCATTATGGTGGTTCATTTCAGAGAAGGCTAAATGATGGATGAATGTACTACAAGGGTGAGAATGTGAAAGCTGCTTTGTATAATGGAATGACCCATTGGACCAGTTAAAGATGAACATGGGGTCTATTGCGCATCGTGACCCTAGCAACATGGGGTCTATTGCGCATTGTGACCCTAGCAATTTGACGATTATATATCCAGAAAGTGATATTTTAGTGGAAGTAAATGAAGATGCAGATGTGACATGTATTTTTTTGGTGGCTTCCAATGGACATGTATATATTGTGAATTAACCATTCGAAGTAACACATAGGGAACATCAAACAAATGTAACGGGCGTAGCTTCATCATGAGGACCATCAACGAGGATCAGGTAATACTTATGATATATATGTTTATCGTGTATTTCAACATTTATAATTAACACTTATTGAATCCTTTCAATTTACCTTTTCAGTCGCCCCATTCAATCAGTGCCCATCCCCATCCTCCAAAATGTTGTACATACATGTGATGCGGACTCCGCAAGTGCGAGACACATTGGACTTGATACCGATAATTAATAGACATTCTGACAAGAAACGTCTCAATTTTCAGCCATTTATGCAAAACAATGAAAGTACATAATGTACTGCACCCAATTTAGGTGGAAAAAGGCTTTGACTATGATGATGATGATGACGATGATATAGAGTTTTTGTTATATTTAAAAATTTTTAAGGCCAGATCTATCCGATCAAACCAATTCTTCGATTCCGACCACTGATCTACCGATCCCGTCTAATTTTTTGAATAGACAATCAGGGTCACAGATCTATTGTTTAAAACCCTGGGGGAAAGCATTGTGGGGCCCAGAGAGAGAGAGAGAAGATGGCTAGGTATATCTTATAAGAACTAAGCCCTTGGCCTAAGCCCTCCGGTCACAATGTGATGTCAAGGATTCCATTTTTGCTATGTAAAAATGTTAAGAGCAAAAAAAAAAAATGAAATTGGTATATTATATAACATGGAAAGTATTGTGGGTGCATGTTCGGAGTACAAGAGAGACCTAGGGTTTTGCGGCCATCTAATTCGAGGGAACCAAGAGTCACTTAATCAGAATTGCCCGAACTTTCTGTTTTTTAATTTTTATTATTTCTTATTATATTCATATAACAATGTCAACACCCTTCATTTCACTACCTTAGATTTTTAAAATACTGTGCGTGCTTGATTCCCCAAGATTTTAAATTGAAATTTATGTATTCCTGTGCTTTAATGACTAGACATACATTTCTCCATATATAGCACTTAAGGCTCACACTTCACCAAAAAAACAAACTGCAAAGCATTCGTTACTTAATTTAGGCACATCGATATTATCTAGGTGGCATAGCAACTGTGATACTTGGAGAAATTTAAGCAACCACAAATGAAGATGATCAACCTAAGTGAAGCAGAGTAAATCGTGTTTTTTGGATGATCACAAAGAGGTAATTTTGGTGAAGTTTTTCACCAATTTTGTCATTTGGGGTAACATTGTATCCCATTATAAATTTCTCTTTTGATAGTTGAATACTTGCCGGCTTACCCATGAACGTAGCCCTACGGGATGAACCACGTTAAATTTGTGTTATAGTTTCTCTCTCTAATTTTCTCTCATGACTATGTTTTTCATCTCTAATTTATTTTCTTAAATTGTAGCACACGATCTTTAAGCTTATTATTGGATTATCGATTTTATGTATTCGGTATGGAGTATGTAATATTCGATGATCGATTAAATTGGGAATTCAAGTATTAGAATCTCCAACAAACCTTAACTGCCTCGTGTGATTTCGAGAAATCCGAGTAAGTTATATATGGATTTATTTATTTAAAAGGTTTTTGGTATTATTTTTAGGTGTTATTTTTTTATTGGGACTACGATATTTGTCATGTCAATGTCGCTTGGAGGATTGGCCTTCTGATTTCATGGGCTTTGTTGTCATCAGGAATTCACAAGCCCCGTTCACACCAGTGGATGGCCGTTTGATTTCATCAGCTGTCCTTGAAAGTTTGTTATAGCTTCTTTGCCTTCACTTTCACTTGCTTTTACCCATCGGTTCAACCCACTCCATTACAGATGAACTTGTATTACTTCCATGGATCGTGCTCATTCTTTAATGAACTTGTTTGCTTTCAGGCATTTATGCTGGATTGATTACTTTATTCTCTGCAGGAAAATTTATGAAGCTTCATGAGCAGATCAGCAATTCTTAAATTATTTAGGTAAGGGCTCAACTCATACGCAAGCAACCCATGTCGTGCGTACAACTTAAGGCTAGTATTCTAGAAAAATTCAAAAAACAAATGGTAAAAACAAAGTATAGCCTTATCTAGAAAGAACTTTGGGTATCAAAAACCTCTTTGATGCCTCTAAAATTAATTTCCAATACTGACTATGAAATTTGAAGCTAAAAAATAATACAAATCTTGCATATATGTGAATACTTCTCTTTAAGGCAAAATGGACAATATGGATAATGGGTAACAATATATGCTATCTTTAGGGTTTGAAAATACCAATACTTTTTGTTCACAACCATAATGGTCAAGGCCGAAATAACTGACTTGAAAGTTTTCCAATGTCAAAACTACAATCTTTGGTGAATTTTAAGGTAAGGATTTATTTATAATAATCATAAGCTACATCTTCCTTAGTAAATGTCATTCCTATTGCCGGTTCGATACTTGCACCACTTGCTTGGGCTGCCTCAACATCTATAAGTAACGGATCTCCTCTTCCATTTATTGCAACTATGTCCTCATCAGATGGAAAATCATGGCAAACTTCATCCACTATAGCTTGAGCACCACACTCATTCCCATTTTTTGAATTAGTAATGTTGAGGGGAGAGGAAGGAGATGCTGATGTTGAGGCATTCATAACACAAGTATAGTATACCCGTCCAACCACCTCCATTAGCGCTGGTGTAGTAATGGGCTGTGTCATGATCTGATCCTCCGATCGAGAGGTACTCTCTCCAATGTCCCCAAGTACATCATCATTCATATTGTTCTCCTAGGGCTCCTCTAATGGGATTAGACAATACTTTCATAGGGAGTCGAATGCCTCAAGAGCTCTGTACTACAGTGGATGTCCTCCCACTACATTATAACACCGAATGTTAGTTGGCAAAAATAACACAATAATGAATACTAAAGCAATTCAGAGAAAACAAAAACTACTGCTTATCTATCCCATTAATTATAACAGAGAAAACAAAGACTACTCCTTATCTATCCCATACCAGAGATTTTCGTCCCTTTCTTTCTTCTCCAAGGATCTGCTAACCAGAAATGCAAACTCATATGAAATGGCGCTTGTTTTTACTAATCTCAAGCAGAAGACTGTCCAAGAGATACATTAAATAGCAGATTGCAATCACTAATCAATTGGTTTTTTGTACTACAAGACCCCGGATGACAAGAAGAGCCTCCAATACTTGAGACAAAAGCTCTCTCGCACGAACCTATTTACACCATTAACAGTAAGTAAGCAACATAAAACCCAAGATTTCATTTCAAACTTCAACTCCGGAACCTAGAGCTGAAGCTGAAATTAGATTACATTCTATTAAGAATTTAAGTTAAACGAAAAATCAAAGGGCAACTACAGAATCTCTTCAGATTCTTAACTGAACTTCACCCAAATCCTAAATTCAAATGCAGGAAAATTCACCATTGTCATGAAAAAGATGAGAAAACCAAGTTCATATCTTGGTTCAATTATGGCCATTATGGCTAAAACTGGTGAGTGGCTTACAATCAGGATGCCTACCATCAGCTGCATTAACATTTCAGCATATTGAAAAACAATTTAGAACTCTATCAGCCGAAAAAAAATGCCCAAATCACTTCTATCAGTCTCACTAGCCAATTGGACATGAACCCACTCCCCCAAAAAAGAACAAATAAAATACGTGGAGGCGACTGAAGAACTTAAATGAATATGACCAAAAATTCCATTTCTCAAATTCAAATTCCCAACAAAAAAAATCACAGAACAGGTAAATGAATTATGAACCCATATTTATATAAAATAAAAAGAAAAAGTTGCATTGTGAAATAGAGAATAGAAGCATAACATAAAACCAAATAATTGTATTCAAATTTCAATTGAAAGTCAGGCATTATTATTTCTATTAGAGCATTCAGCTGTATTCATTGCAACTTCTTCAAGTTATAGATTCAGCTGTATTCATTGCATTACCAATCAAAAGACCAGTAAAAGAGGAGAGAAATGAAAAAACAGATTCACCCAAAATAAATCATGTTATCCACTAATCCTTCCAAATACCACTGCAAAAATGTAACTACCCTTTCATATAAAAAATGGTTATTTAAATCATGGGATTCCAAATTAAATGTTTCTAAATCAAACCCACGGCATATTATTTGGTAACATCTAGAAGATACATTATCTCTCTGATCTCAGTGGTTTGCCCATCAAAAATCTCACAAAAAGAGTCACTATATACAATGTCAGTGAGACCACCTACTGGGAAAGGGTTACCTTGAGAAGAGAAGGAAGCATCTGCCAGGAACTTACGCGCTTAAACTGGCCCCCTGAAAATGGTTTTCATTCCTGCAATTTTTAACATATGAGGGCAGGCAAAACCTGTAAGATCATTTTTTATCTCATTTGCTCCTGGAAAATAGGCAGAAAGCCAGCCGAATATGTAATGAACAGGGAAGCTTGTCCTGAAGCGGCCAGGACGTACTTCCCCTCCAAAGGGCTCAGTCTTGTTATCTTTGGTAGTAGCTTTACCAAGCGCAATTGCCCCCTGAGCAAGTCGGCAAGCTACATAAAAGCAGCCAGGGCGAAGGACTGAGAGTGCAAACGTGCACAAGAAAAGAGCCAAGTAGGAAGCCAAATACACAATGTCCTTCTCGGACATCCTTGGGGGGCATACGGGCTCTTTGGTGTCCTCTTCTTCCCTCAATCCTTGGTCGTCAACGTCCCAGATGACGGCAGAACTGGGTTCCTGCTTGTCACAGCGGTCTCCATGAAAGAAGTCTCTCCATGCTATAAAGTACACAGCCTTAGACTTCGTCCTTTCTTCTGAATATAGGAGCTGGTTTAACTTCAAACAGCTCCCGAAGACCCGGACGTGCAAGCACACCATTGATAGGTTTATCCCCGAAGATCACTTCGTTGTCAAGGATAAACTCTTCATACATGAATCTCAGCATGCGAAGTCCCACAATGAAATGCATGTCAAGAAGGGTAGTTCCTCCCTCACCACAATCCAAATGCCACTTGTTGCTCTTGAAGCACCAAGTCTCCAATAAGGCCCTAATGGTGTTAGAACACTTATCATAGTAGCCAGCAGAACACTGACATGCTTCACCTACACCGCATGCTTCTAAAGCTCCGGCATGTGATTCAAGGACATCAAATGTCCAAGTGTTGTACCCTCTCAAAGTATTGGTGCTCCCACACAAAACGGAATCCACCTCACGCCTAGTGCAAACCCAGTTTTGCCATCATCCTCTTGCCCAGAGTGGGCATATTCTCGCTTGAATCGAAATTTCTATGAAGAGCATGGTATATAGGTACACCATCTCCTTGGAACACGGGCTCACCATTGTCATCTTCATAAAGATAGAACCACGCATCTTCACCTACATAGGTGATGCTCAAAGGCCACTCTAACTTCTGATTGGGTCGAAAACAGCTAGAGTGGTGGATCTTGCAAAGGAAGCACCGGTATATTTACCAATGCCGAATTCTCCAGGGCATGGTAATTGGGGCACAACAAGAATCTTGGCTGCAGAAGAAGCACAAGCATGTAAGCAAGTGAGCAAGTTAACAATTCAGAAAAAAGAAGAGAAAGGCATCAGAAGTTTTGTAAAATTTTGGTAGCATCTCCCCTATATGCACAAGGCAGGTAAAGAAGGTGCTTGGCTAGCCCAAAGCACCCAGAACATTCTAAGAAGTCACGAGTCCGTGGGTCAGACGCCCATCGCGAAAAGTGACCCTGAAGAGCTACCTTTTCTATCACAAAGAATACCCGAAGAATACTAAGAGTGCATAACTATGCATGAACATGCTTAGAAATGCACAACTATTCATTTGTATACATGGCTACGCGCAATTATTCTTAAAACAGTGCTCAAGAGAGTTTTTGATAGCATAACTATACATGGGAGGTGCAAGAAATAATGCAAAAGTACATTCTTATGAACAAAGAAAGACATGAAGAAGCTACAAAGATGCTCGAGTTGCTAAGGCATACAAAAGTGCATAAATACATGCTTCAAAATGGTTATGATGGTTGCAGAACTCTAGTGACATTCAAAGCAATTGCAGGAGCACATTTAGGAGTAATCATGAAGATGCTATGCCGCCAGCTGTAAATTTTTCTTTGTGATAACCAGAAAATGTTCACCATGCTTGGACATGAGTTGGATATGAGCTAAAAGCTCACAAAATGCAGGCATATTCACAAGGCTGCAACAAAATGTTCATGACGAACACACTCCTATGTGACAACCCGTCACTGCTCATATGAAAGCAGTACAATGTTCCTCATGTACATGGTGCAAGATGATCAAGCATGACTATAACTATTTGGGTATGGTGTTCATGACCAAGGACACTTAAGTTCATGATAAGGAATTCAGTTGTGATTCAGTGTAAAATGGTGAACCTTGTGCAAAGTAGTGAACATTATGCAGCCGCCTGATGATAATAATGCTTAAAATCCATATATATAAGGCTCAAATCATCATGGAACTGCAACGAAATGCTCGAATGCAAACCTATGCTCTGGTTCATGGTGATGATCTAAACATCAGAGCCGTACACAAGTGGTTGCATGGTGTGCCCAAGGTAAGCTCGACCGGGACGCTCAAATATGTCCAAATGCCTGAATTTGAGATCAAGGCGTAGGCAAACGCATAGCCGGACTAATGATGAGCATGAACGAGATGGTCATGGTGTTCTCAGAGCCCAAACATCATACTTAGCAGTGTTCAAACACCATTTTAAGCATCACCAAGATGGTCATGATGCTCAAGGATGCACCAAAAACAGTCATAATACCCAAACAAGGTATAAAGCAAGGTAATGCTCTAAACAATGGGAGCAGTACGCAGAAGGATGCACAGTACAGATAAAATGCAACTGAGTCAAAGCATGACCGACATAGTCATAATCCAAGCATAGATGGCATATGCAAAACGCACATGGAAGATTGCACAAGAGGCAAAAAGATGCTAAATGATGAGTCACAGTGAAATGGTGTTTAAAAGAGGGCTAAGGCATCTAAGATACAACAAAAAGAAGCATTCAAGCATAATATCAAACACATGGTGCACAAGGTAAAAAAGCCAAGAGATGGATAGTGAAAAATTTTACCGGGCATGGGCAGCAAGAAGAAAAGGCTAAGAAAAATAATAATACCTTTGGGATGACGAGAGCTGGTACCTAACCATGGCCATAGCTTCAAGAAAGTGACTCAAAGAAGTTCTCTCTCTCTACAGTGGAACTTCGAGATAGGGTAAAAAGCTCGTTTTTTACCGACTGTAAAATTTTCTGGGTAAAACCATCTCTCTCCTACTCTTCTTTATAAAGTCCCACACCTGCACCTTGGCGCGAGCCTGTCAAATTCCTTTTTATCTCTCACTCTCTCAATAAAAATATCTGCCCGCGCCTAGGCGTGGACCCGTCAAATCCATTTCTATTTCTCTATCCCATCATGGGCCATGAATTCATAAATCCAGTATGACCCTCTATTCAGATATACAAATCTACAATTGGAAGGGAGTGAATTAAGTAAAACCATGGGAATCCCAAACCATCCCAATCAACAACCCTATCCCCATCACGAACCATCCCAACAACCCTTGCTCACTTGGGCTTCACCTTAAAACTCCATTATTCCCATGGATCTGTACCAAACATACCTTGCTCATTTGAACTTTCATGAAACCCCATGAGTGATGTCATGCTCAGAGCGCCATAAGAACCCCTGATGATACACCATCGCCGGTGGTCCATCAATTCACAAATAAACCACCAACCTTGGTGGTCCATCACTCTGGATGATACATCATCCCCAGTTGACTTCTACTGCCAATGGACCGTATACCCCAATGTAAGCCGATGGCCCATCTCTCCCAGTGGATTGTAATTTAGGGGATCAGCATCCCCAGTGAAGCCACTACTTTCAGTGGTCCATCCACCCCAACAAACCAACATCCCAAGTTAAAGAATACCATGATGAAACATGTTATGCCTTCATCACCTTTGGATCTTTTCAACCCCAGGAAGATAACCATTCTCTACCTTAGAAATACATTTTTCTCCCCGTGGAGTTTTTCATGCATAAGTTAGCCACTGGTCCATCGAAAACCCCCATACCCAGCAAGTATGAACCATTCATCACCTTGCAAAACTTAGAGCATCACCAGTGATGTCCACTTCCCCAACGAAAGCCTCACCTATGGTATTTGTTACCCCTTTACGTATATACAATCTCTCCCCGTGTGCATTTGTAATGGAGAAGGATTTGTTTTTTTTTTAAAAAATAAAAAATATATATATATATATATAAAGAGACGAAGAAGAACAAAAGAATTCCGACATGATGAGCATCCGATTAGAATCTTCATGAGTAAAAATCAAAGCTTCCGGTGGATCTGGCCATGAAACTATAGGTAAGACTGCCAAAAATAAAAATTGGCTACTGTAAAAACTATGGGTAAGACTGCCAAAAACCCAAGAGGGCATCATGAATAAAAATGACAGACAAACATGGTCATGAAACCATCAATAAAAGTATTTTGAAAATAAAAAACTCGAGCATGGTGAAAACTCGAAAGGGCACCATGAGTAAATATAAAAATAAAAGGTGGATGTAACGTCGAAGACAGGGGTAAAAGAGCCTTAATGAAATGATAAATTGATGAAAGCTGCCCTGCAGGGTCTCTTCTATCGAGTACTGAGTGAAAATCAGACGCGCTATTTCTCACTAGGATCACATAAAGGGCCCTCAGTTGCTATAATAAAAGAAGTCCTTTGATGTGGGAGCAACCTCTAAAAAAAAAACTCTTAGAGACTGAAGAATTGGAAGGAATTGGGTGAAAAACAGACCAACCCTTTCTCACTTGAATCAAGTCCACAAACGACCCTCAGTTGTTGAAATAAAAGAAGTCTTCTGATGTGGGAGCAAGTCCCTAAAAAAGCACTCACTTAGAGACTGAAGAATTGCAAGATACTGGGTGAAAATCAGACCAGCCCTTTCTCATGAGGATCAAGTCCACAAAGGGCCCTCAATTGTCGCAATAAAAGTAGTCATCTGATGTAGGAGCAAGCCCTTAAAAAGGCACAGACTAAGAGGATTGGAAAAATCGAAAAGTACTGAGTGAAAATACAATCAGCCCATCCCAAGAAGAAGTTCCAACTACACTAGGATCAAGTCCATGAGGAGCCCTCAGTTGATGCAATAAAGGATGTCTTCTGATGTGGGAGCAAAACCTTAAAAAGGCACTCACTAAGAGGATTAGAAAAATTGGAATGTACTGGGTAAAGACGAGCAAGTTATGAGCATTTAAAAATCATACTGAAATGAGAAAACATAGTTTCCTTAAATGGAAAGTGGTTTACCGATGCTGCACTGCAATAGTGCATAGCCTTCCATTTTATGGTAAATGTGGCCCAGAATTGTCTTGGAGGGTCCGATTCAGCCAAAATTTGGTACCTGGGGGTTTTTCGATGTTTCGGATCCAATGGAAGTGGTCTGATACTATTTTGAGACCCAGAAAATAGGTCTATAGTTATAGAGTTCATTTCAGCATGAAAGAAACTAGATTTGAATATCAAGTTTCATCCTGATCATATCAAAACTCGTCAGCATGAGACGAATGATGAGACGAAAATTTACGGATGTCCTTAGAATATCCATAACTACACTCTCATTCAATTTGAAGCCGGAGACTGCTAGGTGTAGCTTACAAGGACTAGGCCTTTCGCCTAGGCTTATCGAGAGACAACGTGATGTCAAGGGTTCCATTTCTACTACGTTAAGATGTCAAGAAACGCAAAAGAAGTGGGTGTGTAATATAATATGGAAACTATTGTGGGTGCATGTGCAGAGTATAAGAGAGACCTGGGGTTTTGGGGCCATCTGATTCGGGGGAACCAGGAAACAATGAATCAGAATTGGTCGAAATTTCTATTTTATGAATTTTTGTTATTTCTAATTATATATGCATATCGATGTTGCCACCCTTCGGATCCCAACTCTATATTTTTAAAATACTATGTACTGGTTCCCCTAGATTTTAAATTGAGATGTTATATATACTTGTGTTTTAATTGCTCGACATGCATTTATCCATATAGAGCACTTAAGGCTTCTATATAGAAAATTGTCAATAAATAGAAGGCTTTCATATAGAAAATTGTGCAGGTAACAATTGGAACACAATTTTCTATTTATTTTATGTGCATTTCAAGTTTTTAAGCAATATTTGTCTCTTTAATTAGCTATATTGAAACATTATTTAGGTCATAAAGAATGATTTGGGGAGTGAAACCAGAGAGTCTGATGGAACTCGCTTGTGTAGTGTTCATTCCTTACAAGCTTATAAATTTAAAAAAGAAGAGTAATTTTCATACCGACCTTAAAATTTTAGGTAAATTATAAAAAGCTCCGCTTATAAGCAGAAATTATAAAAAGCTCCGCTTATAAGTAGAAATTATTTTCAAAATTACCCTCAGTCAACCAGATTTTTTATTATTTTTTTGGTGTTTTTTTTATCCTTTTCGTTAGTAGGACAGTGTCCCGAGGTTTAAGGCACTGCCCTACTAACGAAAAAGAGAAAAAAAATCAAAATTCGAGTGAACTGGGGGACACTTTTTTTAAAAAAATAAAAAGAGTAGGTTGACCAACGTTCTTTGTAATTTTCACCTATAAGTGGAGTGTTTCGTATTTTATTTGAAATTTTAAAGTCTGAATGTAAATCACTCTAAAAAGAAAAAAACAAACAAAGTGTCAAAAAATAGTAAAAACCAAACTACACCATAAATAAGATTAAAAGTCTAAAGATAATGAAAAAAATACACAGTTGGAATTTGAAAAAATTATTTAGAGCTAGAGATATTAAGAAAGTTTCAAGAATGGAAAAATTTGTATACATATTAAGCAAATGATTAAATTTTTTTTTGATTCATCCTCAAAATTATATAGGAATATCTTAATACATTGATTTACTAAATAAATATACTTTTTATGATTTTATGTCTAAGTTTTAATATATCGAGTTTATAGGGTAATACTAATTTCGGCAAGGTGAAGAAAGAGTTACTCAGCCAAGTTCGAGTCAACTAAATCAAATCTTGAATACGAGTGATTATTTTATGCTCCTTTAAACATTTGTTTACAAAATTTGAGTTACATTGCAAATCATCAATGGTCATCGATTCTGAGTAGCTTGGCCAAGTCTGAGTCATCTTAACTGAGTCCATAAACGCTGATTTATAGTTTGTACGTTGATTATGTTTTGCTTCTTCCTCGGAAAAAGACGATCAAACAATTCTAAATCATGGTCCTTACGGATCGGATCATCCGTATCCATATAGGATACAAAAGTAAACTCCAGATATTTGATATCTTTCTCTTTGAATGAGATCTCAATTCCAGCTACTGTTTCATTAGATATCTTACAACTAGAATCCCTCTTTTTTTCGATCCGGTTCCTCCACCACCGCAAACCCCAGTTAGATTCAGGCATGATACACTTTTAATTATTGGGAGAAGCCAAGTACTCTGTTTCGGATCCATGAAACAACTCTCAGAGATCTTTTTCCCTTTTGGAAGATACAGGAGCGAAACAATCAACCTATTGATATTGGAAGACTAGTATAAAGTCCTCAAGAGATTCACTAAGTAATATTATCTTATGGGTGCGATTTGTATAGAGTCGAGGCTCCAAACAATCAAAGTAAAGCGCACCTTTAAATAGTATCAAGAAATGTGGTTTCAATACTATAAATATTTGTGATAGCTCTAAATATATTTTCATCCTTAATTATAATATTTAAGGCTTCAAAAATAGTGTAGAGTGAGCAGATCTATGAAAACTTGAAAACCTTGAAAGTTGACTGTCCAAAATTGTGTTACAAGATGCACTATATCCAAACCTTATAATATATTTTTTTCTCATGTCCATGTATCTTGATGTCGAGATGATCAATTTTAGGATATTTGGGCATTAAAATAACCTCTTCTAGTAAATGTTTTTAGATGGCCTCTAATTTGATTGTTTAGACGCTCAGCTCTATATAATTTTTTTCTGTATTTTAGTGACCACTTTAATAACATATTTGGTCCACTTTAGCCTACTCATGCATAAACCCCAATTTTTTATCCCCTTGATTTTGAAGCACGCTGAAATTGTCTACCAGAGTGATTGAAAGAAAATAATTTTTTTGCTTAGTTATTAATTGAAATTAACGAAGAAAACCACTTAGGAAGACGAGAGGTGTAAAGTTCTTGAATGGTTGACCCTCTGGGAGGTCCTTGTGTTGCGCCCCTTCCAGCGTAGGGCCCGTCATTCCCACTGATTAACCAAAACAAAGGTTCAAATTACCAAAACTAAAAAGAAAAATGCTCCATCTACACATTAAAATACCATAGAAGAATAATCATCAATATTTAAACAATTAAAGTTTGTTTGGGTCAGCGTTTTCAAAATAGCTTACGATAATGTTCTTTCAAATTTCTTTTCCAATGAGATAGTAACTCTCACTCTCTTTATCTCTAATATTATTTTTATTGTTGGTGGGGTAGTAATGACAAGTGTATTATGGTCCCATGGGAGTATATTGTGGAACACTCCCTCGCCCAAAACACCTATTTAAGAAGATTTTTTGGGTCAAAATTTTGGGAACCATATAAGACTTATTAGATTAAATACTGGAATTTTAAGTTTTACGATACGTAAATTTAGCATTACAAAAATTGGACAGTCTTGATTCAATTTTGAGGTACTATTTTTTTCTTGTACATAGAGAGTTTCTTTAGGATCGTTTTTTTATTGGGATTAGTATACGGGTTGTTGAGATTACATCCCCAAAATTTGAGATCTAAAAAGTATACCTACAATGAATTTTGCCCGAAGGAACAAATAAATAGCAATCCGCAGTAGGAAGTCTGTTGGCTATAGATAGCAGTCCCCTAGCATTTATTTCTCACCTCTCTCTCTCGTGGGGAAATGGCACAAGGCGACTGCACAAACAAGGTCCCATGGAAAATTGTAATATTTTTTCATGTGGCCTATTCTGCGTAAATCATTTTTAAGGGAGGAGGAAGTAGCGATTGCATAGCTCCCACCGTTTGCGAGTGTACACATCCTTGCTAGCCACCATATTCATCATTTTATTATCCTAATGCTAGCCGACTCTAATTAATTAAAAAAATGATATGATGAAGAATTAT